TAAATTTCTACATAGCATCTGCTAACACTAAAAACCAGAAGTACTATAAAGCATGAGGCAATACAGAAGCTATCATATTCCCTCCTCTCCTCTGGCTTCTTACCTCTGTTACTGGATTATTTCCCTCTAGTAACATGTAAAAAATAAATTAAAAATGCTACAAATCCCATTCTAATTGGTTAGTTACCTTTAAGTACATGATAACCTACTTAATTCTAAATCCCTACAGTTTGGCCACCTTTCTTCCCTGAAAGAGTTCCATTTCAAATGCCTTTCACCTTTGATGGCATCCTTAAAGATAAGTCCCCAAGTCAGAACCACATGCAAATAACAGATCTGGACAGAAACAGGGTTTAATGCATTTTTCTTCTTGCATGTCCCATTGACTGACTTCTCTGACAAGCACATTAGTTTTGAGAAATTTCCCTGTCTCTCCCCAAACACACCAGGGCATTGAGGTAGGCAGTTCCTGAAACTGAGAAGTGGCAGAGCCCACCGCGGTAACAACCACTGCCTCCACTGGATCTTGCCCTTGCTCCTCAAGAGGGAAAGCTGTCAAACACCTCGAGGTAACATGATACCACCTCCACACAGCAATACAAACACCAATTTTGCTTTCTTATTATTCACTGCTTGTCATGGTTTGTACATTTAAATGGAAACATTACGGGCCAAATTTTCAACTGCTTGTCTTTGTTAAAGAACAAACAAAGGCATACTGAGTCATTATTTTCCCGGTTTTGGAGTTACAGGTATAATCATATTTTCTTCACAGATCTGCCATACCACTTAGATAAAGAAAACTCACTGTAAACCACCACTGTTGTTTGGCAGTGTCACCAGTTTTTAAATTCAGGGGTTATCATTTGAAGTCACCTCTCTTATGATATGTACCACTGCCTGATACTCAAATTCTGGTTACATTTGACATTGCAGTTTGGGGAATAAAATAGAAAGAAAACAATAGGAATTCTTAGTCAGATCCATACAAATCCAGATGTCTATCTTATTAATGGATGAAAAGTGAGGCTTTACCATTGTCATTTTATGTTACAAATTTGAGATGTTCTATTAAATTTCAAAATAGTATTTCCTGGGCTATTTCAGTAATTTGCAAAATAAAAAAACCAAAAACCAAAAACCAACCAATCAACCAAACACACCCCCCAATAACTGAAAGCAGAGCCTAGTAGAGTGATATTGTGCTATGATTTTGTTAAATGTCAGGCCTGTAATGCAGCATTAGACTGAGGTCACACGTGCTTCAGCAAAAGCAGTCCCAATGTGCATGTTAATTTACATCCTATGTACAGCAGGATTTTCTCTATAAAACAGGCACAGTAATCCAAACCTCAAATGATCGTGTGGTCTCTTTGCACTAAATTGACATGACAAAGTGGTCCTGAAGCAGCAGAAGGTCTGCCCAGCCCTGTGGCAAGTTGCCAGCCCAGGGACTCCATCACTGCTATCCTAGATGCTGGCACAGCAGATGTAAACTAGAGCAAAGAGGATGCAGCTATCACATTGCCATGCTTGCGGACCCCAAATATTATATACCCATGTGTCAATGGTTATTACTTCTAGTCACCCAGTGGAGTCCAAATATATTCAGGCATAAGCACAGCACACTCTAGCCCAAAAGCAATGGAGTGCAAACATAATTTCTGTACTATTTTCACTGGGTACATTCATAAGCAAAGTTTTGGCAACTTTCTAATAAGATTTTACTGTTCTTGCAGGAAACAAGTAGCAGTTCTGTAAGTATGTTACAGGTCAGACAGCAAAGTAACCCAGCACTTAGTTTTCTTATTAGGAAAATGGAAACAAAATAGACATTAACACATACATAAGTAATTGCATAATTTTACAGGGAGTAAAACTTTCATGCAAAGCGCTATTTGTACAGTCTGTGCTGACAAGTCATTAACTACCAGTTGTTAGAAGAAATATTAGCATAATGTTCCAGGCTCTTTCGATTTTAATAGTCTCAATCAGGCAAACATTAACTAACTTCTTCTAAATCAATAATCGGGTATGTATTTCCTTTCAAAATAGTCAAATAAACCTTAGCCTTTTCTCAGCGGCTATAAGCAGGGTCTGCAGGACAGTCAAAAGCATCCCAAAGAGGCGTAATTATTTTCTTATTCCTACAAACAATTAGCATTTAAGACACATCATTTAATGTTGTCAGAGGCTGACAGCATTACGCCTCTTTTGCAGCTCTGGGCTGTCATGCCAGCACTTTCATCAACCATCATCTTGTTTGAAGTATTTTTAAGAAATAAAAACAAAACAAATCAAATACAAACAAACAAGCCACCCAAGAGGTTTTCCGTTGTACTGAATTGTACAGAAGACAATGAAAATGTAAGGAGATCATATTTGCAAGAAGAAAATAAGACCACATTTCCCATTAACAAGCGAATTACTATGAACTGCCCAAGCTGAACTAAAGGTGCCCCCGTGCGTTTAAGTGAGGTTTTACTGTTCTCCCAAGCTTGGCTTAATAGTCCTGAAAGCCGCCCACCCCCCAAGAAAACCCCTTAAATATTGAAATAAACTTACAAGCATGCAAGGGAAGAAAACAAAAAAACCCATGTGGTCTCTAACTCAATAAACACCCTGACAGGCAGAAAAAAAACTTGTATGTTTTTGAAATGTTGAAGCGATTTCCTTATGTTATTCTTTTGTCCTCTATTGACATAGATACAGTCTCCTTCTTGTTTACAGACAATCTGAATGTAGCCCAGTGGTGCTTGTACAGTATTTTAGTGAGTAAACTATTGAAGAGTAACTACAGAAACACAGCGACTCAACAAAAATTCGTTTGCTTTTCTATTTTTTCTGCTCTTTTTATAAATAGCGCTGTTACTCTACAATAGCTTTCTGAAAAGATGAATTAACAAGGAGAGTTAATATCAGAGAAATTAAAGTAGTTAACACGGGTTTATTTTAGGAATCAGGATGTGAAGAAAGAAAATCTATTAACTGGTCAGCAAAAACCAGCTGCCTCTTAGATAGCACTTCGGGTGTTAAAAACATCTTCACTTAACACTCATCACGAAGAATCTGTTTGGCTTCTGCGTGCTTACATGCCATGCACCATCTGCTGGCTGCGATACCCAAGTGCAGGGAATCAGCCAGCAAATGTGACGTATTTATCCTGTGAACTGCTTCCAGACAGCTAACAGAGCCCTGGCAAAGGAGGGGAGCTCAGGCTGCTGCCGCACTTCCCTACGGGCTCTGTCCTCACCAGGCGGCTCTCGTTGCCACCAAGAGAGGGGAAAGCCACACCACTCACACTCCTCTGGACTTCCGACCTCCCCGTGGGTTACACACAGCTTGAACTGCACAGGAATTTCTTGGTAGATTAAACTCCTTATCAGGCATTTTCTAGACTCTACTCCTATTTCAGCAGCTTGACCTAAGGTAACAGGTAAATTGACAAATGCAAAGGGAAGGAAAAATAAAAACAAACAAACAAACGTGTATTTCTGGATTTCAATATGAGAAAATGCAGCAACTTCTTTCAGTTAACAAGCCATACTTTTTTTCTATCTATCAACAAGAAATCTGGTCACTTAGGAAACAGAACACATGCTGCAAGATGTATTTTCTGAAAAGTGTTTATCTTTCAGCTGTCTTTGGTACAGAGCAAGTTTGTGACTTCACTTACGACAGCCAAGGCAGCCCTAAGCATGTTTCTATTTTTTTGTGGGACCCGGGCAGAAAAACCACGTATCATTCTTTACAACATATCCATCATGTGCTTTTTAGCATTTTAAAGTCAAAATATGATTAACATCAGAAAAGACGTAAATAGCTGAGATGGAAAATGGGCAAATTAAGACATATGTTTATGAACTAACAGCAATAGTTGTTTTTGATATATGAAATCATTAAGATCTTACTCAGCTGTAAAAGGTTATTATAACAATCACTTAGATTTGCAAACATTTTATTATAACCAGGCTGCTAGTATAAACTTGTCTATATTATGTCTCCAAATTCCAAAGCCAGAAGAATTAGTTTTTCCCAGCAGCACCTTGTTTGCAAGTGTACATGTACAACAGGTGAAATCTTGGCCTTTTTAAAATCAGTAGTACTTCTGGAGTCCTGGCCTGGCTGAAGCTGTTGTTACCTGCTACTATCAACACTTCTGCAGGTCTACTCTGCTGGGGCAATTTCTGATGAAAAACATTTTGTTAACTAAACCAATTTTCTGTAGGAACACACTAAAATTATTAAGCTCTGATTGATAAGGTTTTTTAATGCTGAAATTAAATAACTGGTCAAAATGGGAAACAGATGTACTCCAGAACAGGCAATGGGTTGATTATGAGGATGCTGGCAAGGGATGAACCAGGTTTTAAACTGTCTGCTTTGGTCACTGCAACCTACAGTCCAATAAATGGCTGGAAGGCAACCTTCCTAGCAGCTTAGAATTGCTCATAACAGGAATTTCAGACCAAATTTTACTCTCTGCTAGTTTCGGGCAAAAATTTCTAATGAAGGCAGCACCTCAGAAGAGTAGTTAATGTTTTGTCACTTTGCCATGATGGTATTTTGGGATGAAAACTTTATTTTGCCTTGACATATTCCAAATATTGTTAAACTTCTTTCTTCCCTTCCCCCTTAGTTTTCCCTTCTATTATCTTGTATATATTTTTAAGGACCTGCACACCGAATTGTTAGCTAGCATACATACTGCTGCAGAAGTTTAGTAAACCCACTGTTTTGAGGTACTAGAGAGCAAATGCTTCTAAAATAATTTCTCTACAAAGCTGTACATTAAAAAAATACACCACTTCTTCTGCCAAAATCATTACATTATGGAAGGTAAAAGGTGGATGATGATTTTAAAATAAAGATTGCACAACAAAATGGTGAAAAAGTCCATGATTTTAAGCTCAGGATATTCTGCATCTATATGCAAAACAGCAATTATTGCTAAAAAAATAGTATTTAATTAGTCATAACTCATAGCAGAAATTAGCTACCTTCAATGCTCTGTGGACCAACCAGATTCATAGCCTGGTGTGCTGGATATTCTACCCGGGGCCTGGCAATGCCCAGCTGCTCCATCACACCATGGAGGAGCCTCTGGATATCTGCTTCAGAAACCCTATCAGGAGTCCTGGGGCTGTGGCTAAAACCTGAAGCCAATCCAAATGCCAGCAGAAATACCATGTTACAAAGTAAGGCAGGTGTCATTCTGGCAGCCACTTTTATCCTGTGAAAAAGAAAGGAATTTGATTACAAATGATAATGGGAAAAAAAATCCAGTACACATGCTGGAAATAACTTCTGCTCTTACTACCATACGCAAATGTATACTACCGCATAGTCTACTACCACAGCTTATGCGGGCAGCTGAAAATTTAGCTAGTGGAAAACTGGAGGAGGAACAGGGCTAGCAGGGGAGGTGGGTTCTTCTCTTCTAAAAAAAAAAAATAATAAAAAAATACAGTAGCAAACCACAGAAACAGATTTTCTGATTTGTGCTTGCCCACAGCATTCATTTACAGTCACAGCAAACAAAATGGGTCCGCTGTTTCATTTAACGGCACATGTCCCCTCCCGTTTATTCCATTTTATAAAGCTCCGGGCTGAAAGCAAAGAACCCTTCATCCTGGAACTGTGCTTTCCAAGCTCTGAAAAATTAATCACTCGAAACTGCTGAACAATCTGGATTATATTTTATTGGTACCTTAAGACAAGGGGCTGTCTGCTTCATATGCATCATCTTCCCCGCCTGCAGCAAATAGCTTTCGTGTTGTTTGTCCTTTCACTAAACGGCTGCACAGTACAGTTTATTTGGGCAAAGAAAAAAACCCCAAACATATACATATCAAGCACCACTTACTGTGCTCTTTGAGAGGCTGAATTTTAACCAGAACGCTTGTTTCCTAAAACTCCGTTTCCCCTCGCATCAGAGAATAATTGAAATGCATCACTTCCAATCTCTTAAATAAACAAAAATCCTTGCGGTCCCCCTTGCTTTCCTTAAAATACACACAGCTGCCCGATATCTGCACGCCATACGTTTAAAGATGCTCCACTGCTCCCGCCACCCCACGTAACGCACCTGAAAACGTCTTTGAGACAAAAATGGCTGAAAGAGTAAAGGCTGGAAATACTCCCAACAAGCCAGAGCGCGGCTCCGCCAGAGCGCGGCTCCACCAGAGCACGGCACACCCCACACGGCCCATCGCGCCCCATCCGCCTGTGCCGCAGAGCGCTGCACGGGAGTCGAGCCACCTCTTTCCTATTTAGATGGGGAAAAGCCTGCTTTCTACAAAACATCCCCCGTTAACACGCATCCGAGCAAGGCTGCCTCTCCGCTGCCCGCACACCCTGCACCTCCGAGCTGCGTGCGTGGTAAGCTGGGCCGTGTATCCTTCCCTTCCCCCAGTACCCGGGGTGGCTTAGCCGCCGCAGGAGCACCCCCGGGCAGTCCCGCTCCGCCCTGGGCCCTGCCGCCCCCGGTGTCTCCGGGAGCGCCGCGCTCACCTCCCGCTCCTGGCGCGATGCTACGTGTGCGGCGACTCCGCAGCCGCGCATCCTCCCTGCGCAGCCGCTGCCCCTCGTCCACCTTCGCCCCGCCGCCAGCCCCTCCCCAGCAGCTGGTCGTTATCTGCCCGGCGGTGTGCTTGCTGCATGGATCTGTCCAGCGAGGAGATGACGCAAAACTCGGTGGGATCTTGGAGATCTCCCCTTTCAGCTAAACACAATAGTCTAAACTGAAGGGTGTTGATGGACTGACGGTTACAGGAACGAGACATTACCCTGTGACTGTTCGTATTCCTGCTGTGATTTCTGTCCCCAGAATAATGTGATCAATGGTCTACTTGGAGAAGATAGCTTTACCTGACCACAGGTATACCAGGTATATACGGCAACCATCGCTAAGCACTTGCAGCAGAGGACTCCAGGTTAAGCACATGTGTGTACACCATCCATAGCAGAGGCTGATAAAAAGGCAACTGTAAAAGGAACTTGCTAAATGGAGTCTGTCGTTTAATAGCACATGGCAAAGCAGTAATTTCTAAAAACTATTTTATGTCACATCTTCATTGCTACTGACATGAATGTGACACATTTTAGGATAACTACACAAACGTTCTGAGTTTTATACCCCATAAACCACATCAAATCCACAAACTACACATTCAAATGTAGATTACTCTCATTTTGCTCTTCCTTAGTACATTATACATGTTTGCAATTTACAGGATTAAGCACTGGGGACCTCCATTGGCCATTTAGAGCTTCTAATCTCCCTCAAAACCAAAATAGACTTTATATAAATGGATGGGTACTTGAACTGTTCTGTAAAAACTAAAATCAGAGCCTCAACTTTGAGAGTCTTTCCTGGTGCTTAAGGGACTTGTTTGTCAGACGCCTACCACAGTCTCCCTTTCTAATGTTCAAGTGCATGGGTTCAAGACCAGCTTTCATTGATAATCAAAAATAGTTTACTGCTTTGTCCATGACAAAGCTGCTAGCATTCAAAATATTTGGTAAATATTGACAGAGAAAAAAATCCCTCAAGGCTTGCTCTTGCAAACACAAATTGATATCACAACTTGCTACTATAGGACTCAGAATTTATTTTCTTCCCTGTGGCATTTCCTTTATCTCTGCCCTATTTCCATCTCTACCTCTTTGTGTCAGCTGTGACAGCTAGCAATTGCTTTGCTGAGCCTTATTTACCTCAGTGATGTAATACAAAATCTGGTGCTCTGGTGCCTACAGCCAATCAAAGGCAGAGGGTAGGAGCATGTTCCTGCCAATGGCAAGAAGCAGCTGCCTCTTTTGATGGTGGTGAACTATTAACATCAGCTCCTTATTTCATTAAACTGGAGCTTCCAATACTTAACCACAACATAAAGCAACCTTGTTAAGACCCTCTCATGACTGCTTCTCTAGTTTTAGATCCTGACAATAATCTAGTAACTAAAGGAGGCAGTTCAACTGGGCTGATGGGGGCAGGAGGTTTCTACCAGATCACTGAGATGAACTGATCTGCCGAGGGAGTTGGTGAGTATGTGGGGAAGGAGGCAGACAATAGAAAGCAAGCAAGCAGAACTATTCCTTTCATTAACATATCACAAGAAGTTTAGAAGCCTGCTCCTGCTAAATTATGCTGTACCATCCTTTTGCTAGTTGTGAGACTTACCAACATGTATCTATTATGAACAAAGAGCCAGAACAGAATCACTTCTGCCCTAAGTATTTTCCGACTTACTCCTTTTTGATGTCCACAGTCCACATATGACAACATAATTTTCTAAGTCATTATAGAAGAACAGGGTCAGAAAACCACCAGACCACCAATGGTTTTATTAAAACCAAAATTATGCAGCGTTTTCAACTCTTACATTCTGCCAATAAGAAATTCGCACATACAGAAAGCTAATGAACGGTTTCAAGTGTTTACTCTTAAATAATTTTACAACCAATGACAATCAAACAGTTCTAATTCCAAAAGATGTAAACATTTGCTTGTGCAAATCAACTTTTAACTCTATGGCTTCTTACATTTGTCTCTTGCAACATTATCAGCATCTAAACCTGCTTCTGCAACATGTACTTAACACTGTTCTACTGCTCTAAAAATAAGTTAAAGCCACTCTGCCCTATTAAGATAAAAACATTTTACTGCTCACAACTGAAAATACTTGGTACCTATTGCAGAACACATTGCTGGATGAAGTTTTAAGACTTGTCACTTCTTGAATGACCTGCACATTTATTTTGCCTGTGTTCCCATAATTCTCCAGTGTGTACATATGTCAAAATACATTCTCCCAATTTACTCCAATAGAAATAAATATACACTGTCTCAAAAGAACTAGACCTGGTATAAGATCCAAAGTGGTGCCACAATACACTTTAAGCAGTAAATAAATTTAACTACCAATACACAAGCATCAAAACATTTTTTTTCTTATGTCTGTTAGCTTTGTTTTAAATGTCAGAAATTTTTCAACTTTGTACTTAGTCTAAATACTGCAAAAACTTCGGGAGATACAGCATGTTTTAAGAAGCTGAGATAATCAAGTATGGGATCTAATACAAACATTTGTAAAACCAGGTTATTTTTGCTTTACATGTCAATTTCAGTTGGGTAGACTGACTAACATTTGGAAAAGTTTCAGTAAATGAAGAAAACATCAACATAAACTGTTATTTGTGCAAGTTTGACTCATACAGTTAAAAAAATTAAAAACAAAAACAAAACAAACAAACAAAAAAAACAACACCAAAAAAACCCCACCAACAAATAGAGCTAAAACATTAATCATACAAATTTAGATTTTCCAGAGGTTAACCAAGTTACAATAAGCCAAATTAACCATCATATTTGATCTCACAAGTCTATAGGTTTTGCAGCTGGTAGCAGTTTCACTTTAGATATCGGATTCTTTGGAGAGCCTCTGTAACAAACTCTTTCTTTTCCTGGAGCACCTCTTGCGATTGTAGATTTTTCTGGAATATTTATATTTGCATTACCTTTTAAACTGGATTTCACTGGTCTCTGATTGGTTAGATCCTCTAGAACAGGCTTTGATGGATGAACAGTCACTTTCTGTTCATGGATTCCAGCAGTTCTGACAGAAACATCAGGATTGTCTGATGGATTTAACAGCCTGCCACATGATTTGGATGTTAAGTCTAGCTGCTTACGCGATACACAAACTTGGTCATATGTACTTTCACTCCTGAGTAGCAAAGCCAAAGAATCTTTTGAGGGCTTTTCTGTGCAGGACAATAGTGCAGAATCATAACTCAAAGACTTAACAAGTGGTGAACCAACCTCACTCGCTTTAAGCAGCTGAGAGCTTACAGATCGTCTGTTAGCCTCCAATAAGGAATTGATTCTTCTTACAGACTGCCTAACAGGAGTACGTTGAAACTTAAGAGGTGGTTTAGTTTTGCTTGCAGAACTCTGATCATTTAATGAAAGCTTGTTGAACCATTGTATGTGGTCAGAAACCTTTCCATGGTCAGAAACAGTTGATGGCTTAGTTAAAGTTTTATCAGAATTTTCAGCTTGCAAGTACTGGTTGCCTACTTCAGTTTGCAATTTACGTAACTCTGAAATAGGAAGCTGTCCAGCCATAGGAAATTTAGCAGTACCTTCTTCCACATTACAGCATTTTAGCATACAGTTTTCAGCTGTTTGTGAGTGCATTAATTCTGTTTCCTCTTTTCTTCCAAAGGAATCTAATTTATTTAAGTCATCTTTTGATGAACTGTTCTGAACAGCCAACTTGTCTTCCCTGGCCGGTACTTGCGGAACAGGAAGTTCTGTTACATTTTTTATAACTGGCTTCAGGACCTGAAGTTCAATCTCAATAGAAGTTGTGAAGCTTCTTTCTCCCAAAAGTTTAATTTCATCTTTTTTTGACTGGTGTTTATCAACAGCATAAGATTGACTAAATTGGTGGGACATCTCTCTGGATTTTGTATTCGCTAGATGTTCAGAAACTTCTTCTGCTAACGATTCTTTCTTTGGACTGATCCCACTGACACACAAGGTTTCCTTTAAAGTTTCATCTGCTGCATCTGAGAAGGAAGACTTTGTATCACCCCTCAAATTGTGAAAATTACTTCCAGATGCAGAGAAAGCTTGCTTTACTTTCAGCAGTGTTTCTGCAGTCAAATTACTTTCCTCTTCACTAAGTTGCAAGCTGTTGTCTTGTTTGCTTGCAGCTGTGAATTTGAATTCATCTGAAATTAATGGTGGCTTTCCAAATACCAAAACGGATTCTGAAGAACTGATTCCCGTTTTAGGGTGTCCTGGCAGAATCTCCTCATTCCTGCTGATCACCTGAGAATCTGCAACAGTAGGACTATTCCACGACATTCGATTAACTACTTTATTGTGACATTTTGGAGTTAGCAAGTTTTCTTCTGACTTGCTCACATTCTTTGAACCTTAAAATAAATATCAGTGTTTAAGAATGCTGTTTCATGACGGTAATGATTATAGGCAAAATTCTTGCTAAAAACCTTAATTATCAAAGCAGCACCGAATTTAAAGATGCTATTGCTCCTTTACGTTCCAGAGTTATGAAAAAAGATTGTAATATTAAGAACTGAAATTACATCTCATCTCACTTAACAAGAGGACTACTAAAATACACTAGAAACACAAGCTTGTCCTAAGCTGATTATTTTTCCTCAAAGGCCACTAACTTTCATTCATAAAGTTACTTTTGCTTTAAAAAAAAGTTTCCCCCACCTAATGCATTCTGTTAGATGCTCACCTTTCTTAGGGAATTTTTCACTGACACATGGGCTGAAGAGTACATCTTTTTTTGCGCATTCAGTTCTGTTTTCCAAACCTTGTTGACTTGCAAGACGCCTTCCAATATTTTCAGATCTATTACCAACTGCACATCCTGATACAATATTCTTGAATGAAAGGCATTAATTACTTTCATATAAACTTGTAATTTGGAATTTCATTTACAGAGGAACCTCCAAGGAAAAAGCTATGTAAATCATCCATAGCAGACTTTTCTTGGCTATACTTCATTTTCCCCTGATTCTCTGTAGACCTAGGTGGGGAGCAACCCACCTGCAGTAAGGTAGGCTTAACCATACTCTGAACATAGTGATTCTGTGCACAGGCTCTGCAATATTTAAATTTCAGAAACTGAGAGCAACTGATCACAAGTGTGGCAGATCAATCCCAGCTAGCAGGTAAGTTCCCAGCCAGCCACTTGCTCATTCCCTCCACTCTCCAGCAGTATGATGGAGAAAAATGGAAAAGCAAAAGGTGCAGGGGAAGCAAAATCACCACTACCTCCGAAAAAGACCCCCACCAGACAAGAAACCCCCACAAACTACCAAACCCACAAGTGACAAAACCAGCCACTCATGACTTGTAGACCAATGCCCAGCAAACCATGAGTAGTGGCTACTTTGCAAAAACTCAACCCATTCCAGTTTTATTGGCAAGCATGATACTATCATCAAATAGTTCCTTGGTCAGTTCGGGTCAGCTATCCGATCTGTCTCCTCCCCTAGCCAAACCCAGAACAAGCTGAGCAGTTAGCACTATGAAACTAAACCTACATCTTCATGTCCTTGATAGCAGGTACTTCCTGCTACTGAAACTACAGTGCCCAAAACTTGGGATTAAAATATGCACAGTAACAAGACAACTAGGTTAGAAGCAGAATACTTACCATTTCTCTGTTGCTTTTTCCCAAACCAAACTTCAAGCGTAACGACCTACGAACCATTTCTTTTCGGCTAATCTTTGGAGAAAAACAACCTGTCTTTCCTGATTCAGCCCTGGGAGGACACAGGGGAAGAAGTGACACTAACTCTTTAGGACAGCAATGAAAACATACTGACACTAATTTATGGCTATTTCCTCTAGTTCTACTTTTTCTATTGCCTTCTTGACAAGCTTTCCTAATAGGCACAAAAGGTTACTATACCAGATCTTTTGCTTAGCTCCATTTTGCCACATTAGAAGACCTGGTGATTTTAAGGTACTATAAAAATTTGGTATGTTCTGAACACCAAACAAGATTGAGATTTTACACATCATTAGTCAAGGGCTCTAGACCTACCTATCCAATTTATCTTTAGTTTGAGAGTTAAGGCAAATTACCTGTATAATTTTTTGCTTGCATGTCTTTTACTTCTTCTGTTCCCTGTACTAGACAATTGATTTTCACCAGCAGTTGAAGGAGACAGTGAGACTTGTGATGACTCAAGACACACACATGGGCTTGCTTCAGAATGAACTATACGAACAAAACCATATTTACATGATTTTAAAATAGTCACTATTTTTGAGATAAAGACTTAAGTTAATACAATAAGGAATAAATTTTTTAAAAGCACAGATTTGTTTGTTTGCTTTGTGGAGTTCTGGCTTGAATTACTTTGACTTCCACTTTTCCTTAATATTACACAAAGCTGTTGCTTGTAGTATCCATAGAAGCAGAAGAATGCAATCTATTGCATGCTACTGATATTACCACCTCAAGTTTCCACACTATCATCAGGTAAGTTCCTCAAACTTAAGAGCTTAGTAAGAAAAACTAAACTAAGCCTTAATGTTATTTGCAGTGTGCTTCTTTTGCATACCTAACCAGAACAGTTAAAGCAACAAAAAATGAAAGAGCTGCTATTCTAGTAAATGTTTTTTTATTAAACAGATGCATTACTTCTATCTTTGGGAAGCATTACTGGTTTAGTTTGCTTATCCATAGAAACAAGAATTTCATGATGAGCATGAAATGGTTTAATAAAGCAAAGCAATTCTCAACTGAGGAAAAAAAGCCCTGATCTTCAGGCAAAACCAAACATAGCCAATCCAGAAACTTCTTTTTACTCTAACTTCAGTTGGCACCACATTAAGGAACCAAACAAAAATAAAACAGGATTTGCAGAATACTTGGAAGCACTCTAGTCGAATGAAGTGGTATTAAAGCATTGTCAAAAGTGTTTGGTTTTTTGTTGTTTGGTTTTTTTTTTTTCCCCTATAGATTAAGGATTTTTTAGGATCTAGAGAAAACAAGAGGTGAAAAACTTTTATAATGGCAACAATTTTTATAATGGCAACAATTACATTTCACTTAGAGCTAAGACCTGCTATTTAAGTATTTAGGAGAGAGAAGTCTACAACTTTCAAAAGGTTGGAAGCATAGGAAGTCTTCATGGATTTGTGTGCTAAGACACAAACACAAATACAACTTAGATGATACAGAGGGACTGAAAAAGGTAAAAACATAACGATGGTAAATTTGAGAGATTAATAGAACAGAAAACAAGAAACAGATTTTGCTTTAGGTCAACCAATGTAACATAACAGCCAGTGATTAACATAAACACAGACTAAGGGAAGTAGCGCAAGGAGCACCGTTAGGTGAAGTTTATCAATGACTGCCTAACAAGAACAGAAGTCAGTATATTTAAAAGCCAGAAACAACCTCTTCAAGCAGCAAGAGAAAACTGAAGACACTGTACCTGATGCTGGTGTCGAGCTGCTGGTGAAAATGCTACTTGGTAACAACTCAAAAGCAAAACTATGCTTTAAAGATCGTCTCTTCTTGCTGGACAAGCCCTGAGGGCAGTCAGATGGAAGTTTACGTTTGGTACTTGGAGTAAGAACCACCGGAGTCACAGATGAAAGGACTGAAATTAAGAAATCCAAATTTGCATAAACAACTTAAAAGGGTGAGAGTTTACAAAAATATAAATAGGTTGTTTTGTTTGTTATTTAACCCTAGTTTTCAAAAAGAGTACTATTGTAAAAGCTCAGCCAAAGTGCATGCATTTTGAAGAGGCAAAGCAATCTGTATAGCTTAGGGGTTGGTTTTATTTTGGTTGTTTTGTTGCAAAGTACAGTACCAGAAAAGAAAACCCAAACCTGCACATTAATAACATAAGGAGGGGGAGGGGGGGAAGGAAATACGTATTAAGAAAAAAAAAAATTGTCATCTTATGTAAGTTTAAGAGCGATTAGAAGTGAAAGAATTTCAGTACTGGCAAATTAATTCCAAAGACGATAAAATGCTGCAGTACTGCACTGAAGCCTTAGCATGCACTAGATGAAAAGCACAAGTTCAGTTCTGTAATCCTAGAACCACACACTCACTGCTGCAGTGATTGTAGCTGCTCCAAAAACTACAGTAAATGCAGTATCCTCAATAAATATGTTTCTATATTGAAAGCTTTAAACTACTTAAAACATAATCACTTATCTTCAACTAAGTTCCAGTTCTTCAGTTAAAAAAGAATAAAATAATAAAATAGTTGACAAATCTGGAAGATACTGCATAGGTTTTATTTAGTACAAATACACCAATACCTACCGCTTCTGTCTTGTTGTGGTGTAGTGGATGGTGTTCTGTTAGATTTAAATTTATTCAATGCACCACTAACAATATCTGAAATGCAAGACACAGCGAGGAATCAAATTTAATTATGAAGTTTGTCTTGCTTTATTTTCAACTCAAGTTTAACTGTATTCTTTCAGAGAAAAAAACAAAATCAGTTTAAATGCTCGTTTTATGTAAACTATAAATCTTCTCACAAAAATATTTCACAGTAGCTGAAAAATTCTATTTTCTGTGAGAAAAAAAAAAAGAAAAAAAAAACATGCACGGATGACAGAAGTTTCTTGTAGAAAATTAAATTCTACTGGTCATTATAAAATTATATGCCTTGCGATTTCTTGTAGGCAAACCTAGCAGGTATCCAGTGACTGCCTCAATTTACTAGACAGCCATCTTGAAGCTGAAAAGCTGTTAGAGCTTTCAAGTTCGGCCCAAACAGAAGTATGAAAGTAACATACAACTTTTCTGTGAACATATTTTTTTGTTTGGGGTGTTATCTTTTTTGAAAGCAAAATTAAACCCAGAAGAGTAGTTTTACTCAGCATTAAGTTTTACATTTACCCCGTTTTTAAAAGTATAAAAATAGAAGCATTTTTATTAAGTTGCTATTGCAACCTGCAGTCCTAGTTCATAGCAAAGTCTAGCAAACTGCAAGCCTGTAGTATTTCTTTTATGGTGTCTAGTAGCTATCACATAGTTTATAAACCTCAGCTATGAGAAAATAAAGTGTAATACTACTATGCTTTACTACATCTGGACAAAGAGTAGAAGCTGTTTACTACCAGAACCTATTCCACAGAATTAACAGATTCTAACTGCTTTTCATCAAAATTTTAACATTCACAAATAGTATCACTTTGCAACTCCAGGATGATGTCCCTTCTTCAGAGTGGAAAAGCAGACAAACACACACAGGAAAAAACAAACAAACAAACAAATAAACAAACAAAAAACCCCCAACCAACCAAAAATCCCCAAAACCACAACTGCACCACACCTTGGCTAAATATATGCAATAATGAAACCTTAAATTCAATTGCTGTCTTGTTTAATATTCCAGGCACATGAGCTGCATATATACTTATATTTTTGTATCAATACATATAAGATCAGTGTTGTAGTGGATTTGAAGTCAAGAATATGTGTTCCATAATATTTCTTAAAAAGAAAATGCAGAACAGAGAACACACCATTTGATTGTCCATATTTGGCAAAACGAAGAAACTACTGAATAGCTAAACTGAAAAAAAAAACAAAAACAAAAAACCCACACCAAAAAAAACCAGATGCCCAAACCAAACGCTTCCATAACAGAGGACACAGTATCAAACAATATCCAGTTGAAAGTTATGCTCCAAAAAACCAAAATAGTTACTTAATTTAAAACACACATTTATATCCTTGCCTTCTCCTGATCTGACTTAAATACCTAAGTTCCCAAGTATAATTTTAAAACTAGCAAGAAACAAACAAACAAAAAAACAACAAAAAAAAACCCCAAACACAACAACCACCTTTACTTTATAGCAGCCCTCCAGTACCTGAAGGAGGGTTATAAGGATGCAGGGGGGGGGAAGGGAACGGATGACACTCCTGCAGTGGTAGGACAAGGTAATGGGCTCAAACTTAAACAAGGGAAGTTTAGATTGGACATATGGAAGATGTTCTTTACTGTGAGGGTGGTTGAGGCACTGAAATGACTTGCACAAAGAAGTGAATGATCCACCTCCGGCAGTATTCAAGGCTGGGCTGGGCAGAGCCTTGGGTGACACGGATTAGTGCGAGGTGTCCCTGCCCATGGCAGAGGGGTTGGAACTAGGTGATCTCAAGGTCCTTTCCAACCCTAACTGTTCTATAATCCTATGATTCTGCACCAGGATCTGGACTCCACAAAAAGGCCAGAATATTAATCTGGTTTCACAAATCTGAACACAAGCAAAATAGCTTCCTTGGCAGACAACAGACACATCAGAATACAAGTGAAGTAAATATACAGTAAATATTATTGAGGTCTTGTACAGATTTTGCAAATCAAACCCAACAAATTTCACAGGCCTCTATTCTGCTTGTGGAAGCAGCATGTGCTTAGAATCAGCAAACCTCAAGTTTCAAAATAATTCGATTTTAGTTGCTAGAACTTTCAGACAACATACCTACCCCCAACACTTTGGTGCCTCCTCTTCTTGCATTCACTAGGAGATTCATTTTCACCATCTTCATGGCCCCACAGTGAGGGAGTAGATCGAAAGGAATCAACACCTAAGACTGCAGGAATCTTTTCCAAGATGAATTCTGGTACTTGCCCTGAATTAGTTGAGAAATATTTTTTTTTTAAAGTTATCTTACAACTTGAAAACTTGTACACAAGTATATGAAACAAGACATTTTGATAAACATTTATCACCTTACCGATTTCCGATGCATGGTCAATAAGTGTTTGCACAACAGCAGCTTGCAAGCGAATTCTTTTTTCTGTACTGGCTGACATCTTTTCATTTTCATTTGAGTGCAAGAGGTTGGGAGCAAAAATCACTGCCAGATTACTGCTATCCATTCTGTTTTCTTTGGATCTTTACCATAAAAATTTGGGGGTTCACACAAATTATCAGGACATAAGCAGTGGAGAGAGAAAACACCAAATAAGACAAATACAGTTTGGGAAAAAAAAAAAAAAAAGAGGACTAATTCACTTGAGCACTTACATACCAAGAATAATGTGTTTGCAGACTTAAGCACCCCAGGCTAAGTAATCACACAGCTATGTTACTGAAATCAAGAGGTTACAGACCCTGGTCAGTCCTGGGGAATACAAGGCACCACTTAGACTACATTAATTTTATCAGTCACTCCTTTTGTTTTCCAAACAAGAACGAGGAATACAGCTATGGAAGAATGGAACAAAGTCTAGTCTCCAGCAAAATACGGTTTCATTAAGGTAACACTTTGGATTTGTGAAAGACCACGACTGAATTCTAGAAAATGACTGCAGATAAACTCATAAACCACTCCGAAAGTTCCAGCAATTGCCTGGAAAGAGAAGTCATTAAAGGAACTGGGAGATCTTTACAAGGACTCTTTTTACACTGACCTTAGGGACACAGTTCTCAGAAAGTTGAAAAAGTATCTCAAAGCTTGGATTGTTCTGTCAGCCATCAAACATGACAGCAACACAGTTGCAGTTTTCTTCTCATTTCCTAGCTGCTGAGCTTTGAACAGGCCTTCCTGCAGGTGAGGTGGAAGGATGGGTTCTGGCAGCTCTCTAAAGAACTGTTTAAGAAGCCCTGCAACATCACATGGCAGTGCAGCTGAGAGGCAGTTTTCACCTTGATCCAGTTTACTCTGAAATTGTTCATAAGAAAGATGAAGTCTTCAGTATGTCATCAAGATTCCTAAGCTCAGGCATTAATCCCCTAGCCCATATCAGAGAAAACAGCCACAACTTGACAATTTTTTTTGGTTTCAGCCTTGCCATATTTTACTTAACTACAGTATCTACAAGGAGACACAGATAATGTTGTCAGACCACATGTGTTAATTTACGTATTTCACACATGCCCATCCTTCTGGGAGAGCACAGCTAAACAAATATCCTTATGGTATCCAGTGTGTGTAACTGCCAACAAGTTTGTTCAATCCCAAGTGTACTCTTGCCTTCTAGAAACTTGAAAAAATTCCCGGAGCAGAGATAGTGGGGGAAGTGAAGTTTGCCAGTTTCTGAACTAGAGCTCTTCTGATTTCTAAAGCAAGTAATATTACCTACTTCCAATATTAAAGTTTGAATATAACTGAAAGGAGCCCAAAAACTAAAACATGCAGATGACCAAGTGAAATGCAGATTTAAGCTTTTTTATAAAAAAAAAGACTTTCAATAATACCTTTAAAGCTTTTAAACGAGCAAGAGATCCAGACTTTCTGAAGAGTCCCTCAGTCTGAATGTGTTCTTCCAAATACTTACAAGAATCAACAAGAAAGCTGAGGAAAAAATAGTAACAAAGTAACATAAGTTCTGACACTCAGAATAAGGTTTATATTTTTCCAGAAAAGCTATTAAATGATAAACAGATAAAACATATATAGCATAGTTTTCCCCCAATGACAAGTAGCATAAAGAAATACAATTGAATGATAGCTGTGGCTCTGAATGATAGCTGTGGCTCTGAATTCCCATCTCACTTCTGCATCCCTTCTCCAACTGAAACTGTTCTTACATCTCCTATAAGCTTTAGCAGGCTTGGGATAAATATGTTCCCTCTTCAGACAAGAGTTCAGTACTATAAGAAAGCAAAGTAAGCCTAAATTTAAATATAAAGTGTTAATTTACCTTGGAATATAACCATATTCTGGCACAAGTGATTGCGGTAATGCATGAAAAGATATTCCAAAGATTTTACCCTAAAACACAAAATTCAATTAATATTTTTCTAAAGTTGATAGGATACCAACTACATACAGTCAGAAAAAGCACATATTCAACAAAGTACAAAGGAAAGGGTAGTTCAGACAAAGAACAGTCCCTCAAGATAAGACAGATAGGAGGCATTGTCAGGAAAAGAACTATCATCTCTAGCTATCTGTGCGTATGCTGTTACAGGTAACACCCTAGATTACAGTGAAAGAATAGAAAGGTTTTCTGCAGTATGTTTTGCGCTTTTTATTTTACAAGGGGACCATTTACAGGTAATGTTGCAGGGATATTAGACTATTCTGGAATCTCACTGTACCTTTTTAAATTGACTAGATCTTATTTTTCTTAAAAATCAATGCAATACACTTGGAATATATTTTTAATTTTAAGTGTTTGGGGTTTTTTTTTCGCCAATCAGCTGATGCACTCAAGATTGCCAATTCAGGGAGGATTAAACTCAACAGAATAATCTAGAAAGCTGTTCTAAACTCTTACATGTAGCATCTGTACTTGAGAAACAGTTATTACTATTGTCTTATAGCTGCACATCAGCTTATCCGTTACATATTAGGAAACAAGCAATTCCTTCAGCATCTACTGATGCTTACTTACAGCATTAAAAAAATAATAAAAAATCCAAGATTCCTGCACAGTTGTTACAGTTATAAAAGCCGACATTTCAATGTTGCAACTTGTACTTTTATTTCTCTGCTCCACCTCTTTCTACTTGTATTTGCTGAAGGAGCAATCCAGCCTCTCCCCAAACAGAAGAGGATTGGGATCATACCCAACTTGTTATCAGATGAATGCAAACTCTCAGTCATTTATACCTGAAATTCAAAGTGCTGACCATGTTGAGACAATAGTTAATCGATAGCTAACCCATTAGGCCACCCCAGGCCTATTTGTCCTACAAAAAACAACTATAACTTGATAAGGGAAAAGAAGCAACATCGCCATTGTATTCCAAGTTGCTACTAAATGTACAAAAAGAGAACTAACTCCAAGATACATAACATTTGGGGTTTGGGTTCCCCCTTTCCCCCCCCCCCTTGTATTTACAAATTATGCAATAGAGAACTGCAAGTGACTTGTAATGCAACATTCAATATTTGTAACTGATACCCTCACTTTACTAGGTTTTGTTTGAAACGTCAGAAGTAACGATTTAAGTGCTTAAAGTTTTCTATTCCTTTACAATAGAAATAGAATGCACCCAGCAAAACAATATACTTTATACCTTTGCCTACCTTGGTCAACTGTTATTTAAACATACGTTTTCTTCTCCATATTTAAGTACCACAGGCAGCTGTATACACACCTTTTATCATCACATATATTTATTATTCACAGCTCTTATTACCTTCCCTTAAAGTGGGAGGGAAAGAGAAGAGCCTAGAACCACATGCTTGATATGGCTTTTACTTTACCTTTGCTCTCTGCATTACTGAACAACTCAAGCATGTTTTTTGCAATTTCCTTGGTTTATATTGACTAAGGGTCACTACAGCATTTTGTAATATCTCAATCTTACAGAAAGCTCATTTGAGAATGCTCAGTTCTGTGCCATATCAGTTGCACAGAGAACTCAGTTAAGACGTGGTAGCATCCATGCTTTAAGTTACAGTCTACCAGAAAATCAGTGTTCTGAAATGGTCTTCAATGCTGTATAAATTGGCATCTGTTATGTTTATTTTTTATTAAGAGCGCTGAGACAGAAAGCACACTTATTCCCTTCAACAAATTCAAAGTACGTATTTAAGGTAACAGGATAGATTTCATTCCTCAGTGCACAGATCTCTGTACCAAAATACATATAGCCATATCTTGTACTGAGAGACCATGAAAACAAAGCTCTTCAAAGCAAAAATCTAAGGAATCAAGTAAAAATAAGAAACATAAAGCTTTTAGAAACAATATATAAGTATTCTGAGAAATAATACAATGACAACGATTTAACTTCCATTGTGACTGACATTAAGCACAGTAAAGAGTAAAAGGCTCTTGTACAGATCAGAGACATGAATGCGTGTTTGAGTGGCTATCAGCTACATCAACACAGAGGAACCATCTCCTTCACCATCCCGTCTACCTCGCAGCGTTCAGGTCCTAAATAAGGGTGCGGGTGGGGAGTGGGGGAAGAAATTTAATACCACTAAATCACTATCTATCTACATCACGACATGTCCACCCTGAGGAACATCTGGAGCATTTGCTTGCTGAGGAAAAAGGGTGAAAACCGACTTCCCCCCTTTCAGGGATTCAGCTGCCCGCCCCCCCACACACCCCGGGAGAGGGCTAACCCCCATCAAGAACAAGCAGGAACAGCGTTAAGGTGACGTCCCCGATGCCAGAATCAATGCCCACCAAGGATGGAAGGCCAGCTCCGAGGCTCATGTTAGCTTTGCTCATATTGCAGCAACCACAGAGCTCACCCTCACCTCGGCGGAAAGCCGGCTACCGACCGCCGCTGCCCGGCCAAATGGTGTCCCCCTTAAGCACTGCAGCGTTACCATCCCCCTCAGCCCCCCTTACCTCCGCAGACGCCGCTCTGGGTTGCACGGCCGCCTCCAGGCAGCTCCCACTCTTCACCTTAATTCCGTAAGAGGCCCGCAGATCCTCCAGCACCGCCAGCCGCACCAGCCTTCGCCTCTGCTCCGCCATCCCAGCACCCACCACCTCCCGGCCCTTTCGCTCCCCAGCCCACCCACCACCTCCCGGCCCTTTCGCTCCCCAGCCCACCCACCACCTCCCGGCCCTTTCGCTCCCCAGCCCCCCCAACCGCCTCTCACACCATACTCAGCACCATCACAATCTCCAAACACCCAACCCAAACACCCTCCACTCCCGCACCACCGGTTACCACTCAAACCCAGCGCCTCCCCCCGCCCTCGCCTCCGATTGGGGGGCTGGCCCATTCGAAATCAGGTCCCCGCAGCCCAACGGCTGGGGCGGGTTGTTTTCTTAGTGCCTGATTCCTGCCCGCCTTCTCACCCTCTCCCAACTACTAAAGCTTTCAGGCGATCGCGTTGGGCACCTAAAGGCTCTCCCTCCAGGCTGCTGGTGCGGGGGCGCTGTGGTGGCAGCGCGGTGTCTCCCGGGAACAGTGGGGGCGGTTGACGGGTGGTGTCCGCGAGCGGCTGAGTGCAGCCGGGAGTTACCGGGTCTCTGGGCTGTGGGGGCTGGGGCAGAACAGGCGCAGCAAGCAGGGGGAGGGCATCTCAAACACTACCTCCGGGTTTCCTTGCGCTCTCCTGCAGCAACTCACAGGGCAGTGTTACCAAGTTTTAGGGTTAGCTTGGTTGTTTACTTGGAAATGTCTGTTTGTTTGTTTGACAGTAAATTTTAACTTAAAATAGTAAACCACTGCAGTTTTGTGAAGAAACTGAATTCTTAAAGGAGGAACGAATATGCAGTGTCAACTTTGATAGTATTGGGATACAAGAAAGATCGTAGATCTTACAACTGCTGTAGACAGTGGTGTTTTTCCTGCGTTAGCTCTGGTCTGTGCAGATACATCAGACATCATTCACCATTTTCAGTGCACAGAGGCACAATTCACAATTTAAGTGGCAGTTAAACCATTAACACCAGGTTCGTTTGCACTTTCTAAATTTGGGGTTGCTTACCTATGCCATACTATGTTCTCATACACCTTTTCCGGGGGGTCATTTGGGGTTTTGTGCTGTGTTACAGGAGCAACTGCGTTTATTTTTACTATTTTTTCTTTTTAAGCTTCTGTTCCAAAGGTAACTTATTTTAATAACAGTGAAATTAACAGAATGCAATCTTTCTGTGTGAAATCAGAAATAAACGCTGTAGCAAAATGCTGTAGAAAGGAAAAGCTTTTGAGCTTTTCCTTTATACATGATCTTTTACAAGTTTTGAAGGGAGTCTAAGAGAAAGAGAATACCACAAAGTTTAAACTCATGGTAACAACCACATTGTGGTGATCTGAAAGCCTATGGACACAAAAGCTAGAGAGTAAACCAAAGGAGAGTAGCTATAGTTTTTCCAGAAGTCATCAAAATAAAAACAGTGGGAAAAAAAAATAAACAGAAAAACAAACAAACCTCTAGAAAGTTGTGTGGAAGAAAGACCTAGCATCAATAATAAGTAGCAAATTAGACACGAATAAGTAAACCCACAGGATTTTGATTAGGAATGTCAAAATCATGCCATTGAGCAAAAGTAATATTCCCCTAAATGCAATTTTAGTCCAGCCTTACTCTAAGTAGTATTATCTGTCCTGGCACTGAAATTGCATGAAAATACAAAATTACCAAACTTAAAATATCACTGATGACTAAAGTAAATGGAATAAAATTAATGGGTATCATATAATAGTTTAAACAATTTCTGTCCAACTTCACTTAGTTTTCTGTAGGAATGATGAATTACACAAGAGGGAGCTGTGATCTGATAAATATACCAAAAATTTCCATGACAAGTATTTTCCATTCAGTATTCACAGAAGAAAAAGCACATGGTGATTGTGATATTTTGTGTTCCCCCCCCCCAAAAAAAAAAAATAAAATGGTGGTGATAATCTTTTTGCAGAAGCATTTAAAACCAAAGTGTTAGCTATTAATTTCGTCCAAAACATTTGTCAAATACTTTCATATCCTTTAGGTAACAACATATTTCTGCTTTATTTAGAGGCAGGGACTGGAGCAGAAAAATAACTTTGCAAATAAGAAGTAGGCTTCTAATTTTGGAATCAGTTTTAGCTTTCCAACTCAAATTACACTTTTCCAAAATTAAATTAAGAAAACCCCCCATAAACAGCTATTTAATGACTCCCCCCCTCACCCCCCACCCCCCCCCAAGAATTGTTTGAGAGTTGACATGTTAAGATTTGACATGTTAAGGTTCTGGCCTTTTAGATAATTCTAATTTTCAGAGGCTATAGATGAAATCCTGCCCTGAATTAAGTAAATGGCCTAACTCTTTTGTCATCACGAGGGCCAGGCTTACACCAGTTTTTGCATTAGCATGTAATACACAAATGTATTTGTACACAAACACTCAGACATTCTTTTACGCTATCCATATATATGTGTACGTTTACATTTTGGGAGAAAAATCCCCACATGAGCACCTGCCTTTAGTCTGGCATTTTGTGAATTTGGAAGCTACTCCAGGAAGGAGAGCTTTAAAAAAGTCCAATGTTTACTAATAGTCGCATTTCAGTAACCAGTCAGAACAGTCAGCTGCCAAACCAACAAAAACTCAGCCAGAGGAAGCAGAAACAAGTTATTCAACAAGCAGAATAACATAATGAAGAATACAGAAAAGAGATCTTACTCTGAAGTACTCTTACTCTACCTGACCAAACTCAGAACTTGGTGGGAAATAGTGTATCTGTCATGGTTTAACCCCAACCAGACAGCTTGTTCACCCACTCCCCTCGCCCTCCCCAGGGGCTGCCCCCCCTTCCCCACTCCCAGAGGGATGGGGAGGAGAATCAGAAAGAATGCAACTCCCATGGGTTGAGATAAGAACAGTTTAATAATTAAGGTATAACACAAATCACTACAGCTACCACCAATAATAGTAATGATAAAGGAAATAACAAGGGAAGAGAATACAATACCCCATCACCAGGTTACTGATAACTTGCCCCCCCAGCCCGACCAAGAACCGACCGATACCTCCTCCAACCCTGCAGACCACCTCCCCTTCAGGGTAACTCTCCCAGTTACCTCCTGGGCATGACGTGCTGTGGTATGGAATACCTCTTTGGTCAGTTTGGGTCAGGTGTCCTGTCTCTGCTTCCTCCCGGCTTCCCTCCTCCCTGGCAGAGCATGCGGCTCACAAAGCCCTTGGCCAAACCAAAACATTATTTTTATCAGCTTTATTCCCATCCCGAAAGTCAAAACACAGCACTGCACCAGCTACCAAGAAAGACAAAAATGACTGCTACTGCTGAACCCAGGACAGTATCCCTCATTCTGTCAGTAAAAGGGCAATCTTTGCTTTACTACTTCAAGCAAACAAGTGGAGGGCAGAAGGATCATAAGGGCAGATTATGAATAAGAAAGATCATGAGGGCGGAAAGCCAGACCAACCCATCCAGGAGAAACTGAAAAGTAGCTGCACAACGGACATTTACATATTGATGTCCTCGGAGTCTGACTACTAGCACAGTTTATTCTGAACACATACTCATTCTTGTGTCTTTCCTGGCTTTCTCTCTTAATGAGGGATTATTTAACTCCCAGTTGCCATCTCTCTGCGCTGTTCAGCCTGTGTTTATGTTAGTTATGTCCCTTTTCCATCTCCCACTCTCTCTGCTGCTTTGTCTTGTCTCCAGTAAATAATTTTGCCCAGGACCAAAAGTGCTGGGGGATCACTGTCATGAAACAGTCTCCCTACTTGCAACCATACAGAATTATATCAGAAGCAAAACAATCTGTATATTCTGAATACTTTCAACATGTAAGGTTAACTTAAGTGTATTTGAAGTTAGAAAATAATGTTAGAAACATGTCTTCCAAACTGGCATTCAACGTGAATTTACTCTGAACCATGGCTTGAAGATTCTGTGGTAATAGTATAATTCTATTTAAGCCATGTTTCATTTGGGTTACAAATTTGGTCTCAACTTACAAGATTTGTTGATTAGGCTGAGAAATTTGAAAAAATGCCTTTTACTACACTAAGGAAAGGGACAGTTTTTTTGAAGTCACATACTGTCTTGGAAAGCTGTGTGTGAAAGTTAAAGAGTGTGTCTGATTCAAAGCAGCTTAGCTATTGATGATACCATACTGGTCAACTCAACTCAGTGTAGACACTTTCTGTTGCGTTTGAAGTTTTTAAGCATTTCAGGCTGAAACTTGGAGTTTATACTTGACACTGTGCATGGCATTTTGCACTTAAAGTATGTTTCATTTTGTCCTTCTTAATTTTTATCCCTAACCCTGAAAGTGTTCAAGGCCAGGCTGGATGGGCCTTTGAGCAACCTGCTCTAGTGGAAGGTGTGGGATTGAAGCTAGCTGATCTGTAAGGTCCCTTCCAACCCAAACCATTCTATGATTTTATGATTTAATAACACTAGTAGGACTGTTCTCTCTTTTCTGGTTTTCTCTCACTTGCAGTTCTTGTGCTTGAACGGTTGAATGGTCCGAAACTGGCAACTTGCCTGTGACAGAGTGATTTAACAACTACATGTGCAATCTTCACCCATGGTTTTCAATTCTGAAGCACAAAATTCTAAATAAAAGGTGTTAAGATATCTCTAACAAGGACAATGTTTTAAGCTGTTCCTCAATGAAAAATGTTATCCAGTAAAACCAAAACATCTATCTGTGTATCAAGCTGCAGGATGTACCTTTAAAATTAACGCAGAGTTGAAAAGCCATCTAACAGGCACAGACTTTTACATCTGCTGCTTAAACCGCAACCGATTTCTTGAGTTAAAATACAGACTGATACGGTTATAACACACTTAGAATTGTTATAGGCTTGTATTTTATTGACATTGTAGACTTTTGGACAGCTTAAGCAACATGTAAGCAAGGCACCCCAACTGACGGTCTCCTCAAAATGGAAATAATAAATGAAGCCTAGTAACATTCACCTGAATAGCTTGCAAATGTTACATTAGAAGTTAAAAGATTGGTTTGCTTCCTACCTTAGTAGTAAAATTAAAAAAGAACAGAGGTACCCAGAAAGAAAATAGTCAAAATGAAAAGGCAGG